TCAGGAATAAGGGCGTTTTTCTCGCCCTTTACAATTTTATCCACACCCCTTATTGTCTCCAAGCCTACGTTAGCTGAGAAAACGGCTTTGAATTTTTCCAACACCAATTTGGCAAGAGGTCCCTGCGCTTCTACATATAAGCCGCATGGGCATGTGTATATTTTTTAATCTTAAAAAAAAAAAATTGTAAATGCTATAATCACTTTTTTAAAGGTAGAAAATGCAAAAAAGGTAAATATCTTAAAAAAGACAAAAAAAAGGCAAATATCTTAAAAAAGGCAAAAAAAGGTAACATCAAATGGGTATATATGGAATCAGAGAAAGCTAAATCGTGGACATTCTTAATCGAATATACTCTATCTCTTTAGCAGGAAAAAAGGCAATTTCCATAAAATCCGTTCCCTGTTTATAACTATTTGTCCTTGAGTAGGAAATTCATATACATGCATATCGTAGGTTAAAGTAAAAAACCGCGTATCAACAAAAGGCAAAACCGCGTATCAAGATAATGAAAACCGTGTATGTGAGGTTGCATAAGTTATTTTCTAGAGATTAAAAACACTCATATTTCAAAATGGTTATCTTTTTAACCGACTTCCAAAAAAGGAGGAGGTTATCAGTTCGTCGGAATATTTTTTTTATTTTTATTTTTTTATTTATTTTTATGTATATTACCGCATAACTTTGGACCACGTCAACCGATTTCGATAATTCTTTTTACTTCGGAGAGGTGGCTCCATACTTATCTGGTTAAGATCCGATCAGTGGATCACGAGATATATATATATATATTTTTTATATGAGAGTTGAAGTCGGTTTTTTTTGCTAAAATCGAGCCAGCGAATTTTAAAGGGAAGTTTCGTATAAGGTAATACAAAATTTTGTGGGAAAAACATAAACAAATAACTGATTTATGAGTGTAAGGGTACAAAAAGCATTTATTTTTTTTGTTTTTAAATGCTTAAATAACTAAGTTTTTGGGTCCTGCTTTCTTTCCACGCGTGGTAATTTTTTTCGATTAACATCAGTCACAGTCATAACACTTTCAGGATTTTTTTCCGTTACGCGCCGAGAAACACTGGTTAGCAGTTGAACATGTCGTCCAGCTCCTTGTATGTGGCATGGAACTTGTGGGTCAGGAAGTGATGGGTCTTCAAATTCTAAATATTCCTTCAAATGGGTATGCGGAATGCAGTAAATGGCGGTTCTGTTGAAACACAGTCATCATCCAAATCTATCATACTGAAATAATTGGAGCAGTCAAAATTAGTTTTACATTTCTTGTTCTCTCTAAGTTCTTCTGCATTGCAAAGGTTGCTAAGGTAGTACACAATTTTTTATTGCCTGGTCGCGTACTGATTTATGATCATCGTAAAGCATTGATAGCATGACATTTGCTGGATGAACAAAATATGAGTTATTTCTGCCGCTCCTTGGAGGGAAGAAATGCGTGAGGCGAATTAATTTGAATAGAAGCGGACTGCCGTATATAACAGAATGGTTGTATTTAATGTTGGAGTGCAATGGGGTATAGTCGTTGCGCTGGGTATGCAGTTACAGTTGCATGGCTATACTCAATCCCGACTCTTGCCTCCTCGTTCGCACACTCTAGGCAACGTGAGCAACCCATGTGCGAGATGCGGTAACCAATCCGAGTGGAGCCTTGGGTCACGGTATAAAGAGAGGGAGCTTCGGTGGGACCACTCCGACTTATTCGGTTTAAAGTTTTACTGAAGTCTGCAGCGTCTGTTCACCAGAGGTGCGGCTGCAAGCGGGTGTTATTTGGAGCAAGCGGCTCGCTATATAAACGTGTATATGGTTGCGAAACTACCCTCGCCCCAGCAAAGGGTTGTGCGCTGGGTTTGGGACCCGCCACGTAAAAACCACTAACAGTGAAGAAGCAGGGCAAAGCCTCGGATGAGTAAACCCCCCCCCCTCCAAGGGAAGGGATCTTTGGAACCACCGTCGGAAAATTCAGCCTCCCCGACGAAATGTCCGACAACGGATTGAGGCTGATCAACTTCTCCGGGGCCCGAAACATGGTAGTATGCAGTATTAAGTTGAAGCGTAAAAATATCCAGCAAGCTACGTGGCTGTCTCCGGATCGAAAAACGAGAAACCAAATCGACCATGTTGTGATAGACGGAAGGCACGCTTCCGAGGCCCAAACATCGACTCGGACCATTATCTTGTTGCAGCCAAGATACGCACTCGCCTCTGTGCAGCAAAAAATGTGCGCCCAAATATGAGAGGAAAGCTTAATGTCGAAAAACATCACAACAGACAGCCAGCTCTCAGATAGAATTCTTCAAAAAACCGACATATGCGAGCAGTGGAACCACATTTCCCGCTCATTAAGTACCGCCGCAGAAGAAGTAATCGGATTTCAGCGAGCCCGAAAGAACAACTGGTACGATGGGACCGCTATAGGGATCTGAAGAAGGAAGCGATACGTATTTTCCACAATAAGAAGGGGGAGGCCGAAATACGTGAGTGCGAAGAGCTTGAAATTCTGACCGACAGGAAGAATGACCGAAAATTTTACCAGAGAGTTAGGCGACTTACGGAAGGTTTCAAGACCAGGGCGTACTCCTGTAGGAACAATAATGGCGACCTAGTAACCGATGTCCAGAGCGTATTTAAATTATGGAGGGAACACTTTTCCGCCCTACTAAATGGTGGCAGCACGGAAAGTTGTGGAGAAGAAGAACCCGGGCCCGCAGTCGATGATGATGGAGTCGACGTTCGACCGCCTGACTATGACGAGGTACGTATAGCAATAACGCGGCTGAAAAACAACAAACCCGCTGGAGCTGACAGCCTGTCAGCTGAGCTATTCAAGTATGGCGGTGAGGAGTTGATAAGGTGCATGGATTAACTCTTGTGCAGAATATGGTCAGATGAACGCATGCCCGACGACTGGAATTTAAGTGTGCTCTGCCCAATCCACAAGAAAGGTGACCCCGCCATTCGCGCCAACTACCAGCTATCAGCTTTCTAAGCATAGGTTACAAGGTATTATCGAGCGTATTGTGTGAAACACTGAAGCCCACCGTCAATGAACTGATAGGACCTGATCAGTGTGGCTTTAGACCTGGCAAATTCGCCATAGACCAAATCTTGGAAATAACCCGCGAGAAAAGGATCGACACTCACCACCTATTTGTCGACTTTAAAGCCGCTTTTGACAGCACTAAAAGGAGTTGCCTATACGCCGCTATGTCTGAATTTGGCATCCCCTCAAAACTCATACGGCTATGTATAATGACGTTGAGCAATACCACCAGCTCCGTCAGAATTGGGAAAGACCTCTCCGAGCCGTTCGCCACCAAACGGGGTTTCAGACAGGGCGTCTCCGTTTCATGTGACTTCTTTAATCTGATGTTGGAGCTGAATTGAACCGCTCAGGAACAATTTACTACAAGAGCGTGCAATTGCTAGCTTATGACGATGACATCGACATCATCGGTAACAAAAACCGCGAAGTCTGTTCTGCCTTTTCCAAGTTGGATAAGGAAGCAAAGCGAATGGGTCTGTTGGTAAACGAGAACAAGACGAAGTATCTCCTGTCATCAAACAAATAGTCAGCACATTCGCGCCTTGGCACCCACGTCCCTGTTGACAGTTACAATTTCGAGAAAGTAGAGAATTTCGTTTACTTGCGAGCCAGCATTAACACCCATAATAATGTCAGCATTGAAATCCAACACAGAATCATTCTTGCCAACAAGTGCTACTTTGGACTGAGTAGGCAATTCAGGAGTAAAGTCCTCTCTCGACATACGAAAACCACGCTCTATAAGTCAGTTATCATGCCCGTGCTGGTATATGGCGCAGAAGCATGGACAATGACAACATCCGCTGAGGCGGCTCTTGGAGTGTTCGAGAAAGATTTTGCGGAAGATGTACGGGCCTGTACGCGTTGGCGACGGCGAGTACCGCAGACCATGGAACGATGAGCTGTATGAGATTTACAACGACATGGACATAATTCAGCGAATTAAAATACAGCGGCTCCGCTGGCTTGGCCACGTCGTTCGAATGGACACCGACGCTCCAGCTCTGAAAGTATTCAGCTGGTGGTAGCAGAGGAAAAGGGAGGCCCTCACTGCGATGGAAAGATCAGGTGGAGAAGGACTTGGCTTCACGTCGCGTTTCCAATTGGCGTCAGTTGGCACAGAAAAGAAACGACCGGCGTGCTTTGCTGAACTCGGCCAAAATCGCTTTGGCGGTTACAACGCCAAAAAATAAGAAGAAGAAGTATTCAATGTTAAAGTGCATCGGAACATAAATTTTTATTAGGTATTCTTCTAAAGTTTTTAAGTTACAAGGTGGTGAACTTGTTGCAACGTACAATCGTAAAATTCGACCGGTCCGATTTCAATAATTTTCAATGGTTTGCTTTTATGTGGCAAGCACAATAATCGTACCGAGTGTGGTACAAATTGATCGAACCGTTACCGAGATTCACATATATGGTCATAAATGGGTGGTACTACGCCCATTTTCCAAAATTTTTTCATAGACGTATTTTTTTTTCTAAATAATTATTGCAAGCATGAATTTTTAATAAATTAGCTCCAGTAAATTGTAAATATTAATTTTAAGTTAATAAGCTTCAGTAGTTATTAAAATATTGCAGTTTTCATATTTCTGAAAACTACCGTTATATGGAAGGTAGGCGTTGTTATTGTCCTATGCTCAAAAGAGGTAAACATTACAAATTTCTTCAAAATATCTCGATTTTTAATCGAGTTCCGTGTGCACGGACGGACAGACGGTCACCGCTTAATCGATATCTTTTTCAATTCTGATCACATATGTATTTTAAAAAAAAAAAACTACTTTTTGTACCCTTACACTAATAGATTAGCTATTTGTTTAAGTTTTTCCTAAAAAATGTTGTAGTTTTTTAAGCAAAGTTGCTCAGAATGATCCGTAGAGCATTTTCCGCATATTTTCTGTTTTTCTGATCCCCTACAAATTAATATTTTTAACAGGAATGGCCTTTTTGGTCCTACGTCTTCAGCACCCGGAAATCCTTTTGGTGAGTTCAATCCAGCTTATGGTCCTCATTTCCCTACTGGTGGAGTGGCGATATGTGCTGTGTCTCCGGCTCAATGTGAGAAATCAGCTTATCGAACGTTAGATGGCTCCTGTAACCATCTTGATAACCCTCACTTGGGAGTTGCGAATTCGAGGTAAGAGAAAATATTTATTATTTTGAGTAGATACGCATACTAAGTAAAGCAAACCATTATTTACTGGTTTGAGTGAAAATAATCTTATTCTATACATCGATGCAGATTTGTTGTTTTGTATAAATTTGTGCTGTTGGAAAACCTTGAAGGCGGACATCCATAACATTCATATCCGTATGTATAGGTGAAATTACACGTCCCAGCAAAAACTTTTTTCATAATTATCAAATATCAAGCACTTTGCCAAAATTAGAAAAAAGTAAACCCCTCCCCCCCCCCTCAAGTCAAAGAATAATATCTCACTAATATGGGTCTAGAAAAAAGGCTCTTCAGAAGAAAGTATGCGTAATAAAGTTTCAAACACGAATTTTTAAAATCATATATTCAATTTTTCGCTTTATTTATAAAACATTTTGACAATTTTAAACACATTAAATTTTTCTTTTTACTTATAAATCAATGAAACGAAGAATTTTCAAATTTTTCGTGGTTTTTTAAAAAATTCTTCTAGAATTTCGTCAACTGAAAAATTTACATCTTTGTGAATATTCATAGATGCTAGACTGTTGCGCCTTTCTTGACATGTTGTATTTCCCAAGTAGATTTTAATTCTTTTCAGGCAAGCTTCGTTCAGATGTGGCTATTGAAACGGGCAAAAGTGCCAATATACGTAAGATCTTAAAAACATTCCCAAAAGACGTTGTATTAACTACTTGTAATGCTTCGAGAGCATTTCGAAATTTGGGGTTGTAGGTGTTCTGACACCAAATGAGCTATGAAAAAGCAAAAATGGCATTAATTTTTTAATTTTGTTATGTAACGGGTGATTTTTTAAGAGCTTGATAACTTTTTTTTAAAAAAAAACGCATAAAATTTGCAAAATCTCATCGGTTCTTTATTTGAAACGTTAGATTGGTCCATGACATTTACTTTTTGAAGATAATTTCATTTAAATGTTGACCGCGGCTGCGTCTTAGGTGGTCCATTCGGAAAGTCCAATTTTGGGCAACTTTTTCGAGCATTTCGGCCGGAATAGCCCGAATTTCTTCGGAAATGTTGTCTTCCAAAGCTGGAATAGTTGCTGGCTTATTTCTGTAGACTTTAGACTTGACGTAGCCCCACAAAAATAGTCTAAAGGCGTCAAATCGCATGATCTTGGTGGCCAACTTACCGGTCCATTTCTTGAGATGAATTGTTCTCCGAAGTTTTCCCTCAAAATGGCCATAGAATCGCGAGCTGTGTGGCATGTAGCGCCATCTTGTTGAAACCACATGTCAACCAAGTTCAGTTCTTCCATTTTTGGCAACAAAAAGTTTGTTAGCATCGAACGATAGCGATCGCCATTCACCGTAACGTTGCGTCCAACAGCATCTTTGAAAAAATACGGTCCAATGATTCCACCAGCGTACAAACCACACCAAACAGTGCATTTTTCGGGATGCATGGGCAGTTCTTGAACGGCTTCTGGTTGCTCTTCACTCCAAATGCGGCAATTTTGCTTATTTACGAAGCCATTCAACCAGAAATGAGCCTCATCGCTGAACAAAATTTGTCGATAAAAAAGCGGATTTTCTGCCAACTTTTCTAGGGCCCATTCACTGAAAATTCGACGTTGTGGCAGATCGTTCGGCTTCAGTTCTTGCACGAGCTGTATTTTATACGGTTTTACACCAAGATCTTTGCGTAAAATCTTCCATGTGGTCGAATAACACAAACCCAATTGCTGCGAACGGCGACGAATCGACATTTCACGGTCTTCAGCAACACTCTCAGAAACAGACGCAATATTCTCTTCTGTACGCACTGTACGCATTCGTGTGGTTGGTTTAATGTCCAATAAAGTAAACTGAGTGCGAAACTTGGTCACAATCGCATTAATTGTTTGCTCACTTGGTCGATTATGTAGACCATAAATCGGACGTAAAGCGCGAAACACATTTCGAACCGAACACTGATTTTGGTAATAAAATTCAATGATTTGCAAGCGTTGCTCGTTAGTAAGTCTATTCATGATGAAATTTCAAAGCATACTGAGCATCTTTCTCTTTGACACCATGTCTGAAATCCCACGTGATCTGTCAAATACTAATGCATGAAAATCCTAACCTCAAAAAAATCACCCGTTACTTCCTTTATGTACAGTGTGCATGGCCAATTAAAAATAAAAAATAAAAAAATTCAGTGCGAAAGCTCAATGAAACAAGAAAAGGGGCTTCTTTTTTGCAATTATTTATCAAAGAGAGACGAAAATTGTGGAAAAGGATTTGGAAAGGATACTGAAATATTTAGATCTGAAAACATTGCGTTTCCTGCTGATGAAGTGCTTTTCGAAATCAAAAAGCCAACTGTTACTACGTTTATACGCATGCCTAAGTCGCTTTAATTCATTTCGCCGCGATTCAGAACATATGTATAAACTGAATTTCAATTCGCTTTGAAAGAGCGAAGTGTTTTGGCTCACACTCCATTTCAAATCGGTAGTTTATTTCTCCAGACAGTTAGAAAGAGTGTATAAACACCGCTCTCACTCAAAGCGAATTGGAGATCAGCTGTTCCGCTCAATGTAGCATACGAACAGTGTTACCACAATTTCTTTAATTTAAGATTTATTGCAATTTGTTTTAACATTGTAAAGTAAAACATTAACTAATTTATTAACACATTTGATAGTAAATTATTTATCTTAAATAAAGTATATTTCAAGTATTACCAATTTTTTTTCATGCGAATTAAAGCTTAATTTGTTTCAAAAACTTCAGTGCTACTAAAGTTTTCTGCTGCAGCTCTTATTGAAGAGGAATGGCAGCATTGTATGCCAAACTCAAGTTGATTTTCAGCAAAGAAATACAAGCTGGTGTGAAATGTGAAATAAAATGGAAAATAAAAAGAAAAGAAATATATGGAGAGAAAAAGAAATAATAGAAATGATTTCTATTATAAAAGAAAAGCATATATTAAAATTGTTGGACAGCAAAATAAAAAGGAATCGAAGCATTTTTGAAGAAGTGGCTCGTGCATTGAATTCCAAAGGAATCAAAAAGGACGCCATCCAAATTAGAGCGAAGTTCAAATCGCTGAAAAGCGATTATTACAAAGCCAAGCGGAATAATAATAGCAGTGGTGCTGAAAGACAAACCTGTGATTATTTCGAAATGTTAGATGAAGTGCTTGGTCATCGACCTGCAGTATCTGTAGAGGGCGTGGACACTTCACAAACCGAGCGGCCAGCAGACAACACAAATACTTCGCAAAGCAGCTATTTAGAAGTGGAAGCAGATTGTATTGAAGAAAACGATCATGCCGATGGTTCGGAATCCAGTCCCGCATGCAGTACTCCTCGTAATCCGAAAACGTTCAAAAATCTAAGTGCGTTAAGTATTGTGGTTAAAGACGTGTTTGCATATCATAAAGACATGTTATGTATTTTCAGAAAAAAACTCATATCTGAAAGCTATGGAGTCTTTTACAAACGAGTGGAAAAAAACGCAGGAAAACTTAGTCGATTCCTTGAAGAAGCAAGACGAAACCCATTTTAGTAAAGTGGAACTTCTATTAGAAAGAAATCGCAAAGAGACGCAAAAAATGTTAGAGGATGATCGCCACGAAACCGCCAAGATGTTTTCTTCTCTGTTAAGCACGATGCAGATGTCACAACCGTCAAACATTCCTGTTTACATGCCTCATCATTTTCTCTCACCCTCACTTGCTTTGGCCCCGGAAATCGTATCAGCAACGCCTGGTGAATTTGATATTTTTAGGTCACAGCAATCTCCAGAATAAACACTTTTCATCGCTTGTTTCATTCACAACATTCATATTTTCAATTACATTTACAGTGGCGCCCACGTAAAGAGCACACTTTCGTTGTTTACAATATTCAGTGTTTAACGTGATTTATTATATTTATGATTTATTATACTAGAATTGAATAGGCTACAAAACTGCATACCCCATAAGTTTCTAAGGATTCTGAAAAGTGCAAAATTTTGATGAATTTTTTTTTAAATCTTTAAAAAAATTTCCTGAATTGTGCACACGGTTTTTAACTTTGCCTTATATGGTTTATGTTATAGAATCTACTATATTTTTACAAAAACTTTACGAAAACGTGACATTGTAAAAAATCTAGGTGTGCGATTTACGTGAGCGCCGCTGTATATAAACATATAATGAGTACGAAATGCATTTATTTGTAGTCTTTTGTGAACTTTTTGTTTTTTTAAATGTTTAATATACTGTTGCCATACATTAAATAAAATTAAATCAACATGCGCTTATGCATATTTATACATACATATACGTACTTATGTTTATTAGTTTTTGAGTTATCGCATCGCTAGATAGGACTTCGGTACGACGCCATATAAAAATTAAATTAACTTAATTAAAAATTTAAATTTAAAAACATAACTGATGCTTTTTTAATAACTAGGCCAACGTAAAATATTCATTTTTTCATTACAAAATTTCATTCAATTTCTCATCTCATGTGCGTCGAAACAGACAAAGAAAATTATAATTAAATGAAAGTTTCAAAAGTATTTGAACAAATTTTAAAGTAATTATAAAATAATACAGCTAGTTTCTTTAACTAAAATGTATGATACAAAAGCACCTGAACAGTTTTATCAGGTCGGACTATTTTTCTTTTATACAGGGTGTCCGAAAATAACAAGCCTAACTTGAGGAGATGGTAGGTGGTGGGGTGAGCTCCCTGATAAGCAAACAAATTTAAGGCAAAAGTGTCACCGTTTTTGAAATATTTGTTATTTTTTATTAAATTATGGTTAATGCTTAGAAAAATTCAACAAATTTTCATTAAAATTTTGAACTTTTTATTCTGAATTTCTAGAAAATTTTTGGGTATGCAATTTTATAGTCTTGCAGTTTGCTGGCATGCATTTCTTATGGAATAAAATGCACTAGCCCGTTTGCTAAGAAATTTTAAACAAATCACCGTCATATTTTATAAATTGCACTTGTTGTATGAAAAAAACGTTAAAGTCGTCAGCAAAAAAAACTAAAAAAATCAACGCGATTTTTAGCAGGTTTAAACTTGCACTTCATCTGACTAAAATTGTATGGGCTGTACCCAAAAATTTTCTAGAAATTCAGAATAAAAGTTCAAAATTTTAATGAAAATTTGTTGAATTTTTCTAAGCTCTGTATAAAAACTGAAGTTTGGAGTTATATGGCTTTTGTCATATAATGCGCTATAATTTTCTGAAAAATCGGCGAACGTTAAGCAAACAAAAGAAAAATAGTCAGAACTGGTCAAAATGTCTAGGTGCTATTATTTTGATCAGTGGTAAAGAATTATGATAGCTTTTAATTATAATTGCTTCTTACTAAAGCTATATAATTAGTCTTTTTGAGTTTGGTAGTCAGTAATTAAAATAAGTGGTTTTCAAAGGAAAATTGTCTTTTAAAAAATTTTTCAAATTGTTTCGCAAATGCTTAGGGTCAACATTGTCATCAAAAATTATTTCACTAGAAAGGGTGTCTTGAGGCTGCGGAAATTCTCTTATATTTAGAGCTGATTGTGCCCACGTTTCTAAATAGGATTCTTTCTGTTGTTCAACAAAATTATGTAATATAGCACAAGCTAAGACAACTTGCGGAACGAAAGTAGGATTCACATCAATTCTTTTAGTTAGGCATCGCCAACGACCTTTAAGTCGACCAAAAGCATTTTCGACGACTATTCGGGCAGAACTCAAGTGGCAATTAAAAGATTCTTCGGCTGCATTCAAACTTCCGGTGTATGGTTTTATTAACCAGGGAAGAAGTGGATACGCAGGATCTCCAATAAGAAATAGTGGCGTTTCAACACCATTTATTAATTTTGTATGCCTCGGAATTAATGTCGATGAGTTTTTAAACAATCCCGACTCCTTAAAAACCGTCGCGTCATGAGTGCTTCCAGGTAACTTAACGCTGACATCTGTGAACCTTAATAAAAAAATGTAATTTTTTACAATATATCGTTATATAATATGGGTATTTTAACAACTTAAGGCGGATCTCCATAGCATGCGTATACGTATGCGTGCGTTTGACAGAAAAATTGAATATACAAATGTTTATGGCAGCACCTACATAGCAACGCATCAAAATGTAAGAAAATTGTATGAATTTTGATTTCTAAGCGTAAATGTCAAACGCACGCATACGGATGCGCATACTATGGAGGTCCGCCTTTATTTAACTACTAAAGTAACAAAATGTAAAAATGTTTCCCATTGGTTCTAATGTACATATGCATGCATATACATACATGTAGTTGCTATCCACCACTCCTTGCATTACGATGGAAGGCCACCCCTTTCTATTAATATAATCTAGGTATCCTTGACTTGGTGGCAAGATCGGTATGTGGGTTCCTAAAATGTTTAATTTCCAGAGTTTTAGTTATGTATGGATATGCATATAAGCCTTCAGGTTGGTTAAAATTACCATCGATAGCGCCAATAATGTTTGGTATATGCGATTTTTTCTCAAATTCACTTGCAATTAATAACGCATCTCCCACCTGTGGAAACTTGATAAACTCTGTTTTTAGCTGAATTAACGCGTTCACGACGAGGTGAAAATATTTGTGAACAGTGCTTTTGTGCACACCAAAGACATCACCAATAACTCGGTATTCTCCACAAGAAGCCAATTTATATAAACAAATGGCTACTTGCTTCTCTATAGCAAGGGGTGGAGTGATACATGGCACACAATCGTTTTTAAGAAAGCACTCTAGTTTTTCGCAAAGCAGTAGGAACGATTTTTTACTCATACGGAAAGCTTCGATGTAGCACTCATCATTTTCTGGCTGCTGCAGCGTCCACCAGAAGTTCTCCTTCCTTTTCCGTTTGTGGAAACGTCGAATTCGAGGCATATTCGTAGCAAAAAATATGTTTGGTAAATTAGCCTGGGACCCAACCAATTCTCTCACATTATTTCTTTTTTCATTGTTTGAATTCCAAATATTCGCATCAGTATTTAAAAGCTGATTAATAACAATCGTTCTTTTTCTTTGCCACGATTTTATAATGCCGAATAAAACTAGATTTTTCTCACTTTCCATTACGTTAACTTATAAAATGTCAAATGAAAACAGCTGATTTTGTTTGCTTTTGAAGACGGTTACTTTGATGCCGATATAAAGCCGTAAGCATAAACACTACAGCGAAATGTGTACGGTGTCAATGCGCTTTGAATTAAGTCGATTATTCTGTGCGTATAAACGTAGTATGTGTCGACTAGCAGTCGGATTCTAACTTTCGTTATATCTAAAATATGCTGAAATGCGAAAGCTTACATTTTATCCGCTTTTCGCTAAAAAATAGATTAGACTAAATTTTAGTATCCGCAAGTGGCACTATTCAACAAAAGCAGCTAAATTCCCCATTTTAATGGTGATAAATAGTGAAAATGGAGCAAAAAAAATAGCAGCCCCCATTTGGATTATATTTCATCTCCTGTACCGTAACCATGGTTAAGTTACAAAGACACTCGCACCGATTCGCAAAGACTACTGATGAAAAGCTTTCACAAAAAGGCAAATCTTTGAGAGAATGTACGCATTGCTATTTCGAATTTTTTGCCCAAGGTGAGTAGAGTTTTGAACATTCTTTTCACAAATTAGTTTCAAAAACGTTCGGATTCTTTTCAGGAGGTTATCAGTGGTTTTTGGTAAATGTGTGCCTTAAAAATTATGCAATTATGTATTGTATGAAAGTATTACGTTTACCTGCACTTCCTTTACACTAAACCTAATTTTACAAGCTTTAATTTATTTTGTTCATCTCGCAGAACAACGAAAACGGCTATAATTTTATGTAGTTATATAGATAATTAGATACCATTGCCATTAGATACCAATACAATTGCAGTAATTTCTACGTGGTAAGTGCTCCTTATTATTTGGTTTCATAGGGATTCGGATTCCTTTCCTGAAGTAGTAAAGAAATTTCGCTGTACTGTGTAAATAATATCGGTGGAGAGTTGGGGAATACTGAAACCTTAAGTGAAAATGAAGTGTTTTATGAACTGCCTTATGGATCTCTTCTCAAGGCATATCTGCGAGACATTTAGTATTTTTTTTTAATTTACGAATTTCAATAATGCCATAATTAATGGCTAGATGAAATCATTTATGTACATATGAAATACATATTCTATTATGTAGCTCATTTCAAGGGGGGGCTAATTGGACAATGTTTTCGAGTACTACTTAAACACATACATATAATCATCATTTGAACATAAAAAACGTTGCGTGGAAAAGTCTGTCTTATGAATGCTAAGTCATATTTTCACATTTTATTTACTGACTTTACATTTTTTTAACGCTTGACATCATTTTACATTAAAATATTGCAATTTTTTAGCTGCTATTAATTTCGCACAGAAAAAGTGCAGTGGTCAAAAAATTATAGCCGAATCACTTTTTTCCAAGTTTTACCGTATTATTTTTGTTGTCATTGAACTTTTGTTACTTTTTTTTTACAAAAAATATAGTTCATTCTTTAACAAAACCCGTGTAAATCCAAGTTTAAAAATTTGTGCAATATTAAAAAAAATTAACAATTTTTCGTGTAAATTTCGAACATTTTTAACTCATACTTTATTCTACTAGAACTCAGTGCGCTACAAAACTGCATACTCAGAATTTAATTAAAAAAATCGAAATTTTAACGAAAATTTTTTGAATTATTTTTTTAAATTGCGTAAATTTTTAAGGCAGTGTCACTCGATGGGTACATTTGTACAGATTTTTATATTGGGCTATTGGTAAAAAAATTGAGAAATTTTGATTTTTGTAGTCAAAAGATTGGTACAGCGATGTTCTATTGAAAAATTTCAACAAATTAATCTTCGTGATTGGAATAACAAAAAATATTTTGGGTTTTGTTCACACAATTGGGATACGATTTGCACCAAATTTTGGAAAATACCCAATCGTGGGACGTTGCCTTTACACTTGTATTTATACGGATGTTTTAAATAATATTTTAAAACTAGTGAAAATTTGGTGCGGCTATAATTTGTTCGACTACCGTACATTTTAAGCGCATTTTAAAATTTTCAGGCAATAGCCTCATGCGATCATCGATTATATTTTTTGTTGTTTGTGTTATATATTTAATTTTTATCAGTATTTTTCTTTTAATCAAAATACGTTGAAATAAAAGTGAAATTAAAAAAAAATTGCCTGCCTGGCTACGGCCCTGATAGAAAGCAAACAATTCTTCCGTTTTTTTTCGTTAAAATCATACTTTGGAAACAAAACACTAAAATTATTTAAAACTGATTTATGGTTTAGAACCGGCTTTTCAAATAAGCAATATATGTATCAGGGAGGGGAATGTAAAAAGCAATGCGATAGTATGCCTCGGCGTCTCCGGTTTTCACATTAAAGCGATTCTTTTGGCGACTGCTGTATCGCGGTACTTTGATTTCTGTACCTAGGTGAAGTATGCACCAAAAAAAACAAAGCAAATGAAAGTTTTTTCTGCATCTTGTCGCATTTCTTCAAATTCCTTTAAAGCGTCGTCGGCTAAGCTCATTGCTTCTGCAAGATCTTCATCAGGTACTTGTAATTGCCGGCTAGCAAAGCAACCACAATTTATAAAAAAGCAAATGCTTGGCTTTTGTCGCTGTGCTAACAGTTTTTCAAACCCTGATAATTTCTATAGATATTCGCACGATACAAATAATTGTTACGGTATTTTCCCCGTGACAAATAAAAAGTTTTTGACAACTGGAAGAAATACAACTTCGAAAGACTTTTTTAAAGGATTTTTCATTTTGCTACGTTAGAGCCGTTATGGATACATATACATATACACAAAAATTGCTCGTATAAGGTAATTAGAATAAGGGGCAAAATGTCCCGGGTGTGACAAGTTTAGCATGAATAAATAGATACACATTATTAGATAATTTAACAAAACAAATCGATAATCGGTTCAAGCGGTAATGTGTTCTAGAATGCACTGCCTTATAATGTCTTCTAATTTTTTCGCTTGTTTTAGGCATTTCTGGCAATGTATAGTAGAATGTCCTATAATATTTTATTTATTTCGCTTCTTTAGGGAAGCGCAAGGTAGAATGCTTCATCGTAGTCAGCTGAGAAATAGAATGAATACCGAAAAACTTAGTTTTCTACCATTACTTTCCAGAAATTTCCATTGCATAAAAATCATGTTTTGCTTTGTTTGATTGAGAGCGAATTTGTGTGCCTACGTACGTATGTATAAAATCTGATTTACAAAAACTTTAATTACAAATCTAATCGAAGTTAATTTTTAATCTTTTTAGACAATCTGGAAGACATTCAAGGTTTGTTTACTTTCAATCACTTTATTCGCTTCTTTGGATTTTGTTTATCCATGCATTCTGCCTAGAGCTGCAAAACATCGGATCACTATCGATAGTATCGATAGGCTAAAATAATTTCGATGATACCCATCTTTTAATAATTCATCCAACTTCTTAAATAATTTGAATGTCACTTTATATCACGTGGCAATTCAAACATTCTAAATGTTCAAACTGAAGTTTTTTTAACACCCTTTCGCTTCATATTTCAAATAACTTGCGTAAATGGTAATTAAATTCGACTTTTTAAACAGGTGGAACCCCTCTTCAAAAGTACTTTCGCGCTAAGATATTCTTAAGTATTCTTCCTCTAACATTGCGATACATATTTTAATTAACTGATGAATTAAGTTGAATTTTATTGTTTAAACATGTGGCAACCCCGCTAAATATAATTAAGAAATAAAAAATTTTCAAACCCATTCGATTGATACCCATCTTTTAACAATAACTTGAAATAAATTCTTACACACAATATTCTTAATGTATTCTTAACACTCTTTCTTTTGGCATACATACTGGCATTTCATATAACTTTTGGATAACATAACTAAAATGAAAATATTTGCAAACTGCTACTTTCTGAGTCCCCTTACGTTTGGCACCCATATGTTGGATATTTTTTTCATATTTAATTTCCTTAATTCAAATTTAATTTGATTTTTAAACAGGTGGCAACCCTCATAGAGTTAAGTTAAGAAAGAAAGATTTTTAAAACCACTTTCATTTCAGTTCGTCGGAATATATTTTTTTAAATTTATGTTACCGCATAACTTTGGACCACTTCAACCGATTTCGATATTTTTGCATCGAAAAGGTAATGTCTCAGAGGTGGTCCCATACTAAACTGGTTTAGATCCGATCACTGGATCATGATATATATATATGTATATATATACATATATATAAACGAGACATGGGCTTTCGAAGTTCGAAATAGGACCTTTGGTAAAAAATTAAATTTAATTATTGCATGTAAATAACTAAAAACCTAAAAATATAGATGTGCAAACTTATATTACAGGTGCTATAAGGGGTCAAAGTTCAGGTCTTCGAAAAATTAAATTCCATATATTGCAAACAATTTTGAACTGATTTAAAAAAAAATTTATATCGTTGTAAAGGTGAAACTTCCATTCTTCCGATTTGCATACTTTCGTATATAAAAATTTTAGAAAAAACATATTTAAATTAAAAAAAACTTTTTTTATAAAGAAAAATATTTAAAAAAAAATTACTTTATGGAAAAAACAGCTTTTTTTTATAAAAA